ATTAACATGGAAAGGGGATACAACTTTAGGGAGGAATGTCACATCTGTGCGGAGAATTGCCCTGTCCTCATGGACAACAAAGTACGGTTCGTCCACCCGTAGTGCCGCAAGTTCCGACGGCCTACGGGCCGAGGTGATCGCGACCAGAAAGGCCACTTTCCATGAAAGAAGTCGGAGGTCGATCGACGTCAGAGGTTCGAAGGGCGCTTGTGCGAGCCGGGCCAGCACGAGGTCGAGGTTCCAACCGGGAGTTGGAGAGCGAACTGGGGGATGAAGGTTGTTGAATCCCCGCAGGAAGGACTTCACGGAGTTATCCTTGAACAAGGAGGCTTCCCCTCTTCGTTGAAGCTGCCAAGAGATGGCCGCTAAGTGAGACTTGAGCGACGATAGCGACAAACCCCGTTCGGTAAGGTGCAGTAAGAACAAGAGAATTGACGGTACCGAAGGCTGATGATCGTCTAACCCCTTTTCGGAGAGGAAGGCCTGGAAGCGGTTGAGGCATGCCGAATAGTATTTCCTAGTAGCTGGCTTATGAGCTGCGGCCAGGATCGGGAGAACTCCTGGACACAGAGACCTCAGAACTGGATCCTCCACGCCGAAAGATGAAGAGAAGCGAGGTCGGGGTGGAGCAGTTGACCCTCTTCCCGGGAGAGTAGATCCTGCCGAAGTGGAAGGCGTCTCATCCGTCCCTCGGACAACTGGAGGAGGACTGAGAACCACGGTTGTCGTGGCCATTCCGACGCTATCAGGATACAGTTCGTTTGCGCCGATTGGATCTTCTCGATCACCCTCAGGATGAGCGGGAAGGGCGGGAAGAGGTAGAGCAGATGTCTCGACCAATCTAGGAGGAATGCGTCTCCGAGACACCCTGGTACCGTGTTTGGAGCAAGCCGAGCACCGAACTGCGGGAGCTGAGCATTTTGAGGCGATGCGAAGAGGTTGGCAGCCAGGAGGCCCCAATCTCTGAAGATCTTGGCCAGCTCGTCGGGGTTTAACCTCCACTTGTGCGAGGTCGACTTGGTTCTGCTGAGCGCATCCGCCTCGACATTGGTCTCGCCCAGAAGGTGCAGGGCTGTCACCGACACCGACCTGGCTACACACCACTCCCATAGTTCCAACGACAGCTTGAGCAGTTTCCTCGAGCCCGTTCCGCCTTGCTTGTTCACGTAGAACATTGCTACCATGTTGTCCGTAAGGATTTGGACAGACTTCCCGGTGACCAGAAGGGCGAATGCCCTTAAGGCTTTGAAGATTGCCAGCAATTCCAAGTAATTTATGTGGCGTTGTCTTTCCTGTGGAGACCAGAGATCGTGTACCGAGAGGTCTCCTGTATGGCATCCCCATGCGAACATCGAAGCGTCCGTCGTGATGGTGACGGCTGGCGGCTCTGGGTGAAAGGGAATGCCCTTGCAGACATGCTGGCGGTTCATCCACCAGTTTAGTGAGTCCTTCACCGACCTCGGGACCAGCAAGCATTTTGAAGCACTGTCCCACATGGGATTGAAGTGGTCCAAGAACCATCTCTGGAGGGGACGGAAGCGGAGCCTCACCAACGGTGTCACCATCACCGTGGAGGCCATGTGCCCGAGGAGGACCTGTATCTGCTTCGCTGGAACGACTCGGGATCGACGAACTTTGAGCGCCTCGGCACGAAGAGCCCTGAATCTCTCCTCCGGGAGGAATACCGACTGGGAGAGAGAATCGAACATGCAAGTGGTGGGTTCCAGATGAGATTTCTCCTCGTTCAGCTGGAGGCCCAGGTTTTCGAGGAGAGAGAGTGTCCTTGCCACCTGGATCCGCAGGAGGTCTGGGGAACGCGCCGCCAACAACCAATCGTCTAGGTATGGGAAAATGCGGATTTTTTCCCTTCTGAGGGCTGCTGCGACCACCGACATGCATTTGGTGAAAGTTCTCGGTGCTGTCACGAGCCCGAATGGAAGCACATTGAAGGCATAAGTCTGTCCCGCTACCCTGAAAGCCAGGAAGCGTCTGTGGTGTTTTCTGACCGAGAGGTGGAAATAAGCGTCCCGGAGATCGACGGATGCGAAAAAGTCCCGGTATCTGAGGAGAGGGAGTATGGACTATACCGTCACCATCCGGAACTTTTGGGGTTCGATGAAGGAGTTTAAGTCCCTGAGATGGGGGATTGGGCGGAGGGAGCCATCCGGCTTTGGGACAGTAAAGTATCTGGAGAAGAAGGCTCGATGGTTTTGAGAGTCCGGTAGGGGGGAAATGGCCCCTTTCAGGAGCAAGGTCTCGACTTCCATCAGAATTGCCGAAGATGGTTCGGTATCGACAATATGCCCTGTTGGTGGGAGCTCTTCGAACTCCAATGCATAGCCTTCGTTGACAATCTTTAAAACCCATGCATCTGAGGTGATATTTTCCCATGCAGGGAGAAAGTTCGTCAGGCGGTCCCCGAACGGTGTCAAGCCGGATGGAAGGATGAGGGCGGGTACCATTGGGAGGGACATGGGAACAACATCGGTAACGGAACTGCAAGCGGTATCGTCCATTGGGGCGTCAAATGCGGCGCCTGGCCTGGTTGCCTCCTGAAGCCTGGTGGGATCGTGAGCGTTGCTGTTGGTGTTGCCTACGCTGCTGTTGAGGCTGTTGGGGGTGGGTTTGCTGGGAAGCATGCAGAGGACGAGCTGGCTGGCGGTATTGGATCGTACGGTACAGGACCGTGTGCCGACGCTTGTATTGGATCCATCTGGTTCTCTGTGCCTGGTTCTGGTTTTCGAACCCGCACTTGGCAGCCAGAGTCTTGAAGTCATGATTTGACTTTAGCTTGTCGTCCGTCCCGGCATTAAAGAGTCCCAGGGTGTCAAATGGGAGGTCCTTGATGACCTGCCTCGAAGATGTTGAGAGGCCAGAGGACCGGAGCCAGGCATGCCTCCTAATTGCCACGGCGTGGGCGATCATCTTGCCAGCAGTGTCTCCTGTGTGTTTGGCCATCTGCATTTGGTGATGCGCCAGGGAATTCGCCTCCTGAGCAAGGGTGGAGAGGACAGTACGATCTTCCTCAGACATCCTCTGGAAAAACGGTGCCGCTTTCTCCCAGAGTATCTGCTGGTATGCACCCATACAAGCGCCATAGTTGGCCATGCGGGCTAACAAGAGGGCACCAGAGTAGAGCTTTCTGCCCACCGCATCGAATCTCTTCCCTTCACGATCGGACGGCGTCGACGATTGCCTCCCGAACGCCTGAGCCACTTTAACCACCACCGAGTTGGGATCGGGGTGGTGTTTGAGCCACTCCAAACCCTCATCGTCCGTTCTGTACCATGATTCTATCTTTTTGGATGTTGGAGGGATGGAGGAAGGGGTTTTCCAAGAACCCTGGATAACCTCAAGGAGATAGGGAAGGAAGGGTAGAAGAGGAGCAGGTGGAGATTCTGATTGCACCCTCTTAAACACTGGGTCCTGCACTGCTTTGGAAGTCTGCTTGACCTCCAAGCCTAGGGCATCAGCCATGCGAGCCATTTGATCCGCAAAGGCTCAGACATTGTCCGTGGGAGATGGTGGATCAGCTTCATATGCGTCGTGGGTGGGTGATCTCTTGATCCCGAGGGATAACACCGATCCCGAGTGTACCGATCCCGGCAACTCGCCATCTTCCTCCTCATCTTCGGCAGGAATGGATTGGGGAGGAGGGGATGAGGAAACGTCCCGACTCGGCTGCTGCGGCAGGGCTGATGGAGGGGCTTTAGAGGTCGAGGCCTGAATGGCACGGGCCAGTCTCATAGTCTGCCTGCCCCTTTCTGGAGTCTCCGTCACTGGAGAAGTCTCCTGTCTTGCCATCACAGTTGTCACGGTCTCCTGTCTGTCTGTCACAGATGGAAAAAGCTCCTGTCTGGCTGTCACATGTCGAGTTGGTGCCTCGATAACCGTGTCCACTGAAATCACAGGGGAATCAGGCTGCTCCAAAAGCGGCTCTGGTGACCGCTGTGGCTCAGGGCAGGCTGAGGGGCCTGCTGAGGTTGAGCTGGCTGCAACGGCGATGACCTCGCCGACGAGGTGGCCGAGGAGGCAGTGGTTTGTCTTCGGGAAGAAGAAGACGAGGATGGAGGCGGCATCGACTTCTTCTTCTTCGCCGGCGGCTGTGCTGTCTTCGACAGAGACTTGCCCGGGGTGGGCGGGACGGAGGACGAGGTGGAAGCACACCGAGATTCCTCATGAGCTCGGCGAAAGGCAATGCGAACCGCCGTGGAAGATGGCAGAGTCGCCGATGTCGACCTCGTGGATCTGATCGACCTCACTGACGCCACCGAGCTGGTTGAGGAGTGCCGGATGCGCACGGTCTCGGTCGTGACCGTGCATGGTTCCTTCTGCTTCGCAGGCCTCGTGGCCTTAGAAACTGTCGACACCGAAGCCTTAGAAGCTGTCGACATAGTTGACCTCGGTCTTTTTGCAGCCTTTCTCGCCCTTGTCTGGCGAGGCTCGACCTGAGTCGAGGGATCGATGGATTTTGAGGTCGATGCCTCCTTTGACGTCGATGCCGATGTCGATGGCTTGGATACCGCAGTTGACGTCGACGCCGATGTCGATGTTGAAGATACCGGAGCCAACGTCTGCTGGTACAGGAGGTATCGAAGCCGATGAACCCGATTTTTACGGGACTGTGCCGTCAACGATTGACAATGACGACACGAAGATGTAATGTGTGCCTCTCCGAGACACAAAAGACAAAGAGCGTGCTTGTCCGAATCAGGAATCTTCCTCGGACAATTCGTGCATCTTTTAAAGCGAGTCGTTGACATAATACTCTCGAACACTGGTAGAAGAATCGAACACTAATAGAAGAATCGAAGCGAGCCGTGCGGTGGAAAAACAGGAATTGTGACGGTATGCGCGGGGCGCCCTTTTATCCCCTGCCGGGGCTGGGCAGGGTTACCGCCAAAACTTGAAAAGTTTAAACTGTAGAAGTTTCCGTTGGAGCCCGCACAGGCGCAGTCTCTCCACAAGTGTGCATTCGCAGAGACCACGAAGAAAAACAGGATATTTCAAACTGCTATTAAATTTTATATAGGCAATGAAGGATTTGTTTGATGTATATGCTGCTTTTCTCCCAGATGAATGGCAAGGTGGCATACAGAAAGATAATACAAGGTGAGCTAAAAACTTGATAATAATTTAAGACACAGTTGTACAAATCATTCCACCAAAACACTATCAATGCAGCATGCACATATCTCATTGAAAAGGTTCCTTGTAACCAATCATTAAATGCCTTTTTGAATAAACAGGTCTTGCCTGCTGGTGAAAGGAGCAGCACAGCCTGCTATGGAAAGATATACCACAGGCCGGATGCAGCTGCTGGGAAGACTCTACTGGGTGTCCTCTCCAGATGGGCTTGTGATGGTAACATAGAAAAAGCCCCCTCCCCTTATGATATGAAGACTATGGGAGGTTTGTATAGGGGGATGAGATAGCCCAGAAATCTTAATTTCCCTGTTAGATCTCCAGGAATGGGAAGAATGTGTGGGAAATTAGAAGACCAAGACACAATAGTATAATTGAATATAGGAGCAAACAGACAGTAGCCATGGTATGTAGGCTCACTCAGAGCCTAGGGCCTTATTTGAAGTGCTTCTGTTTTATTTTAGTTTATTCCTGATTTCTTTTTAAAAGCTGTTTTATTCTACTGTTTTCACTGTATTGTTGCATTTTTTGGGTTATGGCTGAGTTGGTTATAATATGGTACAATGCATTGTTACCATTTAATATGTTGTGGACTGCCTTGGGAAAAAATAGATGAATTCCTACATAAATAAACAAAAGGCAAAGTTATTCTAATGGGAAAAAATGATGACTTCAGACCATGAAAGCTTGTGTTGCACTCTTGTTTTTCAAACTTTCTGCAAAACTGCCTAGCTTTTGCTGCAATGGTCTGCTTATTCAAAGTACAATGATTCTCAAAATGAAAAAGAGACCCTACTCACATTCCTTTGTTACTGTTTGTCTTCATGTAATTTCCAGCTTGTGGCAATTCTAAAGCCAACTCATCACCTAGGCTTCCCACCTAGGCTTCCCACCTAGGCTTGCTTCCCACCTAGGCTTGCCTTCCTCTAGGCTTGCTTCCCACCTAGGCTTGCCTTCCTCTGAGGCTGAGAGACTGATTTGTCCAAGGGCACCTAGTGGATTTCCATGGCTGAGAAAGGATTCAAATCTAGTCCAACACTTAAACCATTCAGATCATCATACTTGATGGAAGTATTACCTTTGAGGATAGAATGCAGAGTCTTGCCTCAACACTAATAAAATAATAACTAGAAGAAAACGATTGTTCTAGTTTGTTGTTGTAAACACGGCAAAGATTTTTAGGCTTGTGCACTCGATGTAAATATGTTTCAGTACTCATTACAAAATTAGGGGGCACTGATGAGTCTTTTCTAAAGTGTTTCTAGAATATCAGAAGTGCCTGTTTTGTTATAATGAGAGTAACAAATTATTCATTACTATTTCATTAAGTAATTGTTGGGGGTGGGAGCTTCTGGGGCTCCTTTCTCACTCATTTTTAGAGCTATTGGGGTGGAACTTGCTACAATGGTAGAACATATTTACCACTGTTACCCCCACCTCCAAGTTTCAGAACATTTCACTCATCTATTGCTTTTTGAGGATTTTTTTCTTAGATTTTTACAAAATCTTTTTTAAAAAGTACAAGAATTTCTCTACAATAGGCTGGCAGTAGCCATAGAAGATAGTGATACCCTCAAAATGAACCAGAAAAGGATTGTGCCTGCCTCAAACAACTTCTTGTATGGGTTGTGGTAACCAACACAAACAAAATAGGCTGGCAATCCCTAGAAGATACCCTCAAATTGCTCTCCACAAAAAAGCAAAAAGCACACCCCCCACCCCCAAAAAGAAGCAAGAAGTAAAGCCTCCACTATTATTATTATTATTATTATTATTATTATTATTATTATTATTATTATTTCCTATGTTTATACCCCGTTCTTCTCAACCCCGAAGGGGACTCAGAGCAGTTTACAGATTATGGCAAAATGCCACATTATGCAATAAATAATATAGCATATCAAATTATAAAACAAAGCATATAAATGCAATAAAACAGATTAAAACATAGTAAATGTTCTGTTGAGGAAGGAATGAGATGCCAAGCCGGGGTGGCAATGTTCAGTCAAGAGACGGCCCAGGTGAATCAAGGGCCATAGTATCTCTGTGCTGACACAAGGATGCTGAAATGGAGGCCAGTCAAGATAGTCCAGCAGCACCAAGTGGTCCCCAGAAGCTGAGTGAGTCCTTAGAATCTGAAACAGAGGCAGCAAGGGAAACAAACACTGCCCATACCCTCAAAGCCCTGGTGATGGTATCTTCACTTCTTGCTTAAGCCTGAGGCCCTGCAGGCGTGGTCCTCTTTATGCCCCAGCCTCTGGGCAAGCAAGCAGGTGTTGTTACTGGCCTCAAGTTGCAGAGTCAGGGCCTCAGTCCTGCCAGGGGTGAGTCCACGGGAGCTGAGCCAGAGATAGCAAGGGAAACCAACTCTGCCCCTTCCCTCAAAGCCCCTGAATGATGGTATCTTCACTTCTTGCTTAAGCTATCGTTGATTCCTCTCTCTCTCCAGTGCTAGTACCTGCCTACAAAGCTAATTAACGGAATCTGACGCAGAGCTCCATCCTTTCCCTGCAAATCACAAATGGAGTCTGTGGCATGGTGCTCGGGAATTTAAAGAGCAATGGCCATGGTCTCCCACTCCACTTCTTCAGCCTTTGGAGGCATGCAAGAAGTTTTGCTTTGCTTCCTGGTAGTGCTTGTTTGCTCTGTGAATTAAAACGGCATCACAAAGTGTTACAAAGTTTACATAACTTACAAAAAAATCAGGTAAAAGTTTTGATTCTTAATTTTTTGGCCTGAGTGATGCCCGTGCATCAAAGATTGCATCAGATACATGGATCTAACAAATTAGATCCGACTTACAATGGAGAATCAAAATTTTGTACAGCTCTAGTTATTATGATACATGAAGACTAATGTATTTGTAATGGTGTCAGTGTTCATACCCTGAGGCAGCACTCCCATATGCACTTAAACTATAAGGAAGCCCTATTGATCTATTTGGAGCAGACATAATGCATAAAATTGTCCTCTAAATCTTATTTAATCCGGAGTTGTCTTTTATGGTATGTTTTCTGTCAGGTGATGATTACCAGACCATATTTTTTATCGTTAGACAGTGTTGGAATTGGTACAGCCCTTTAGATGTTGGACTGAAAGACTCAGTGCTCCTACTAGTGTCAAATGAGGAATACTGGAATTTTTAGTTCAATAACATCTGGAAGGCTGCACAGTTCATGTTCTGTCCACCCCTGCCCTAATTAAATTATCAAGAATTATTCCTTAATATGCATTGACTGTGTCTGTGGACTCAAAAACTGTTCACCTTCTGTTCTTCCCTCATACCTGTAAACGTGTGCCAATCCATCTTTAATTGCCGTAAACCTTTAAAACTGCTAGCCACATCCACAGCACCCTCCAGTCATAGAATCATAGACTTCAAAAAGAAAATTGCATTCGAAGCACCCCCGACATATGGCCATCCAGCCTCTGCTTAAAAGCCTCCAAAGAAGGAGCCTCCACCACACTCCAGGGCAGAGAGTTCCACTGCTGAACAGCTCCCACAGTCAGGAAGTTATCTTCTTCGACAATTGTAACTTTCCTACCTTCTGTTTATTCCCCCACCCAGTCTTCACTCATTCCTGATTATACACCAGGAGCTGTTAAATGAAGCTTAATCGTGCTAATCCAGACAAATTATTTCTGTATTTAAATCATACCTTTTGGTTCTGTCTTGAATTTTGTAATAAAATTCATATTTTCAAATATACATCTGTTTCTGTGTTAAATAATTCATATCCCCTTGTTTAAGAGTATAGAACAACTTCTCCATGACACACCTTTTCTCTAGGACTACAAAAAATATCCTACATATGTTGGTCAAATACACATGTATAGTTGCATGTTGGGTTAGACCATGTGATTGCATACATGTAAGTATCATATTTAATAACCATGTATATATTTGTACTCCTCCTGGATAATTGTATATTTTTGGTTGGGCTTTATTGCCTGGTATTTCTTATTTATGGATCAACCGAGAGCATTTGGACAACCAGCGGAGTTGATGCTACTATGAAACTTCCATCTATGCATATTGATTTCCAATGACCCTGTGACAAAACTGAACATAACAAGTTATTAAGAGCCTGTACCGTTGAAGCCTACTAAGCAGCTGTCATATTTACTGTACAAACCTACTACTAACCACTAGAATCATACTTTTACAGCATCAAAGATCCAAAAAACCACTTGGTGGCTATTTGCATATGCCACTTTGACTCTTATGCTTCTATTTCAGAATGTATTTCTCACTTTCCGTTCCTTTTTTTTACATGCTGGTAAATATCAGATGATGCCTCTCAAAATGTCTGAAGAATTTAAGTGAATGTCATTTTCAGAACTGAGTAATGCTGATCCAGTTTCCATTCTTTTACAAAGCTGTCTCGATTGAACTAGCTCCATTTTCCTGTAATATGAAATGCTGAGTTTGAAGTAACCTCTGAAATGTCCTTTAAGTCTGTGACCCTCTGGAAAACTAAATTGGGTTCCATTCAGCCTGAATCATTGTCCACACACACACCATTGGCAACATCCCTCCAACACAAGGGTATAGGACATCCTTGTGTTGTCACCACCAGCATATCTCAACAGCTATGTATTTCTTTGTGATACTCTGGCTGTTGTGGTTGCATCTGCTGAGGATACAGCAGGGCATCCATGTGATCAGCAAGAAGGAGGGGTTGCTCTACTTGTTTATCGCCCCATTGTGTTCTCGGCAGACATGACCAGTATGGTCACACTTTCACAGGGCGCTCCATAACTGGTGAGGAGTGGAGGCAATATGAGGACAAGAGGATGGACTAATGGGGTTGGTGCCATTTCTGCTTGACTTGACCGTCTGGACACCAATGAGGTACTGTGAAGGATTCAGTCCAATGTGTGTGACTGCTCTTGTATTTGATCTGGGGCCAGTTCAGAGCATAATGCTGTAGATTGGCCCAGATTAAGTGGCCAGTGTAGATGTGACCTACATTTTTAGAAATGAACTGAAGAACATCTAAAAGCCAACAGCAGAAACAATTGACCATGTCTGATAGGCACCTGTTCATGCAATGTGCAAACCCTATTTTAATACCACTTTCAGGAAAAAAAAAATTCACATGGCCTCTAAGCTTTCCTAGAACTGAAGAAACCTATAATAACTGCACCAAAGCATTTTTGATCCAGTGGCTTCCATATAACTGAGCAGTGAAAGAATGATGATGCTCTAGGACTCGTTCTTCCATTGCTCAATTGTAGAGGATTTCAACAAGTCATTTTTCCTTGCAATATTGTCCATACAAACAGAACATTCCAGATTCTTGAAAAAAGATAGGGATTTTTCAAGTTAAAGAGCTTCTGTTTTATGATTGCCTTATTTTTGATTTAGATTTTATGCTGAAATATTTAGTAGCCACAGTTGAACCTTTGGTTTGTGCAGTAGATGAGTCAGGTTTGGCTGTGTTCTTCAGACACAATGCTGCTTTTGCAAGAAGGATATTTGTGAAAGAGGGAGGAAACCCTGAGGTGGTTCAACGACGAACACATTGGGAGCTGCAGTTGCGTCATAGGTTTATCTTTGCTATGTTCCCACTGACCTTTAATATGATGACCTCTGGGGAATTTTTCTTGGAGACTATGTACATTCAAAAAACAAAAAGATTGAAGTCAGACGTTACTAAAAACAATTGATGTTTGCAAATATTTTTAAAACACACAGCTGTTCCCAGGCATTGGAAAAGAGACTAAGCCCATCCCTTGTTAGCTTTCACCAACAGGGAAAAATTATGCAAAAAGACTTTTGATTTTTCAATTAATTTCAATTAAGTTGTGTTTTAACATTACAATCTATTCCATTGTCTTTTAATATTAAAATTCCTTCTTTTTGGTATTTTGGACTTTTTAAGTTAATCTTCATATTAGTGGCCTTGTGGGAGAGAAATGGGATATAAATCAACCAAATGAAGAAAGCATAGACATTTATTTGGATTGCATGGTGGAATGATATGGATACACAAAATCTGGAATAGATTCCTATAGGTGTCTGAAGACCACTGACTTTGAATTATATCCATTTTGTATCTCTACATACAAGAGAGATGGATTTGATGCAAATAAGGCTTAATTATGTACTAATTCACAATAGCCTATCTTACAATATTGTCCATACATTCCGAGTGAAATAGCCAGAAAAATAACTCAGTTATTTAGTACTTTCTTATTTGGAATGAAACAATTCTTTGAATTGATTTCATAAGAACGTTTATGTAATGACTTCCAATTCCCTCACCTGGAAAGGTTCCCCAAAGTGGTTTGCAACAATTCAGCACAGTCCCAATACAAATAAATCACAATAAAGCCAAATCAAAGAAGCTACCAACAGTGCACCCAGTGAAGTGTGTAATATTAGTATCACGGTGTTGTCAGGATGAGGGGAAATATTACAAAGTTCTGATACTGAGACTATCCTTACAATCCGGTTGAATACAAGACTTTTGCTGCAGACATTTTACTGTGGCAAACAACACATACACATATATATGGCAACCTTTTTGACAAAGTCAGCACATGGATTAACATGGCTCAGATGAATTGGCACTTGGTAACAGGTGTACGTGTACTCTGCAACAAGAATATGTCCGATCACCTAAAATCAAGAATCTATTGAACTGCTTTAATATATGGAGCCGAATGTTGGCTGACAACAAAGGAAGCAGAATGCTGCCTTGGTGTTATGGAGATGCAGATGCTATGATTTACAGCTGGTATCACATGGCTTCACCACATCCATGATGACATTCAGCAATGCTTTGGCATTGCTCCAACTGCAGACAAACTATGAGAATCATGCCTCAAATGGTATGGTCATACTCTCTGAGGTGAAGACAAGTCAATTTGCAAGATTACTCTTGATTTAGAAGTGTGTGGCAAGAGACCAAATGGATGATCGAAGGAACATTGCCTGGACATGTGATCTCAAGGCCGCTGGCATACACCCTGACCAGGCACACGACCGGGTGAAATGGTGCCAACAAACCAATAAAGTGGACCCCACCATCAAGCGGAACATATGTTGAAGAAGAAAAAGAAACAGCACATACACATATAACCCTTTTGGCCACCAAAGTGCAAATGGAGAGCACCTAAAATCAGCCAGAGGACCAAGTCCTGTTTTAGCACATGACACAGAAAAATCCAACAGTATCTCTTCTCATCCCCAGAAATATATGTAGTGATAGCTAACTACAGTCAGCCCTCCACATTCATGAGTTTTACATTTGCAGGTTTGATTGTCTGCAAGCTTGAAGCTGTGCTTAACAAGCTCGACTTCCTCCCCTACTGCTTGTGTCATCCTTTCCTTTCAAGAGCACATACCCTAGTATGTGCTCTTGAAAGCTTTTGCACATTCATACAGAAGCTCCAGCCTCACACAGTAGTCTCCTCGGGAGATGGACTTGGGGAAAAGAGTCATCACTGTGGTTGCTGAAACTACCTCCCAGAGCCTGGAGCTGTCCTGTGAGCATCCACACAGCAACTCTGTCCTCAGAAGGGACAGGGCTGCATCTTCATGAGTCCCATCTTCACACAGCAGCTCTGTTCTGAGGAAGTGGGAAGAATGGCAGCAGTGCTGTATGAATTTGCTCACAGCCTCAGACAATGGGAATAGGGCACTGGCTGTGGGTAACCAGCAACCAGGCACACATTCTCCATGCTTGTCCTGAACTGTACAGTATTTTTTTTTCACTTTCATGGTGTTCCTGCATCACAAACCCCTGCAAATATGGAGGATTGATTGTATTTGTTCCCCTTTCAGGATTCTCTCCTCTGAATCGTCTGTCTGAAGTGATCAACTCATTGTGCAAAGATATAGGCCCAGCCTGCCTATGTACCCTGGAAGAATATCCTAGAGAATTTTGGCCCCATCTACGCTGCCTTATAATGGAGTTTCAAACTGCATTATATGGCAGTGTGGATGGGGCCTTAGGAGAAAAAATGACCCTCTTCTTTGGAGGTCAGACAAAGAGAAAAAGAGCAAGGAAGAGAGGAAGGAAGAAGATGAGAAGAGAGAGGGAAAGAGCAGCTCTGGAAGAAGTAGGTCCACTGTTCTAAGTATCAACATTCTGGGCAGAGGAAGCATTTACCTAGGAAACTAGGTGCTACAGGACAATTCTGTGGAGGCTAACCATAGAGTCATGCTAGAAACCTAGATATCTCTAGAGAAGTGTTACCGCAGGTAAAACAAATGTATTGGGGTTTTTAATTCATGTTTTCCCCAGTTTTGGTGAAGTGTCCTCCCCTCTAACACCTGCAGAAGAGGAGGGCCTTCTGTAAAATATTTATTTTTAGGATGACTATAGCCTAGATCTAAAACACTGTTGTACCTAAAGTAAAGTAAATCCATGGAAATGCCTAAATCATGATTAAGTCCCACTCACATCAATGGGTCTACCATTAAGCATGACTAAATCTGGACCTACTCCTATTAAAATAAAGCCTGAAAAAATGATATAGAGTTAAAGGAAATGTCATTCATAGCACCAGGAACGTCATGGCTGCTTGTCTGTGACTCATGGACACTCATATATCACGCAGGACAAAACTAACTTCTCCAGATGAAGTTCTTGAGTAGTGCAGGTTTGACACATTTTCCTTAATGTTCAGATTTCCCCATGACATGAATGCTGTCATGAAAAAATATTCTTGGTTTGCCAGTAGCACAACTAAAATATATGATGAATGGAAATTCCAGTCATTTTGGTAGTTAGCTGTAAAACTACCAATGAACAAACATACTTAAAACAATTTCTCAAAACTATGTTTTCTTCAATGCTGTTAATATTGACTTGGCAATATTGTCCAATGTGTCACAGGGTGTGTTGGGGTGTTTTTTTCTCAATATTACTCACATTATGTTAGCCAAATTATTGCCCAATGTTTTGGCTACAGCATTACAAAACATAAGAGAAACATTATCTCTGTGCATGTTTGTGTGTGTCTGTGGATTGTGGAGTGGAAAATCAGCTCAAGAAAATATAGTCTGTGGGATAAATTCCGACAAACCAATTTTTTTGGGTTATTTAATTCAGGTCCAGTGTGTTTTTCTGGCTGAGATGGTTAGGACTGCAGCCATTTTGCTTGGGGGGGAGAGGGTGGTATTTCATTTCATTTCCTGCCTTTATCCCAATGCGGGACCTAAGCCAGCTTGCAACACAAAGTTAAACAAAATAGAGCTCAAAAGGATCCTAATCATTGAACAAACTGCCCTATTATTTTACCAGCTTGTGTTGCAACTCCCATTGCTCTGTGTATAGTTGATAGATAAGATGATAAGGGGGGGGGGGGACAGATAGACAGCTCCATCATTACTTGGTCCCAGCCAATAGTGAAAAGCTTTCCCTTTGATCCAACCCGTTGTGGCCAGTGAGGGAAAGAAGAGCAGACAGAATCAAGATGACCAACCACAAGGAAAAGGGTAAGGTATCCCTCTGTGCCATATCGTTTCCCTTGTATTTTGTATCTTTTTATACCGTAAGCCCGAGCACAGGAAACTCTCAAACAATTGGCAAGGTGCTCTGGAATCCTTTTCATCCAAAAGGCGGGATATGTATCTATATAAATAAAAATGTAATGTTCGTTTGTGGGATTAACATAACTAAAAAACCAATGGACAAATTGCTGCAAAATTTCGCCACAAGACACCTACTTACCCAAGGAGTGACCATCACTCAAAAAAATTGATTTTGTCATTTGGGTGTTGTAGTTCCTGGGATTTATAGTTCACCTCAATTAAAGAGCATTCTGAACTCCAACAACAATGGAATTGAACCAAACGTGGCACACAGGACTCTCATGACCAACAGAAAATACTGGAAG